TCCTGCTTTATATTTTTGTAGTGATCTTCCATGCACACAACACACATTTACAGCTGTGGGACGGGGGTGAAGACCCTGCCCTGAGTATATACATGTAAGACTGGGATTTTATTCCTTGAGCCCAAATATTGACCGCTGTTGCTCTCTAGGCTCGCCTGCACATGTTTTCAGCCTGAAATGGATTTCCCTTAGTTCTGTGTTCTACATTTGCGTTCTCTAATGTCTGGATAGAGACACTGCCAGTCAGAACTGAGGTCTTGAACTCCATGCCTGTTTTCTTGAGAGAGGTTCTTCTGTGCTTCTGCTTTCCTTCATCTGCTTTCCCCTAGTTTTTTCCCTTCTTCTCATCTTCTCTAACCTTGCTGTTATTATTTTTTGAAAATAATTCATCAAGTAAGGTACATAACTTGTTCCAGGACAAAATCAGCTAGCAAGTGTTCATATTCCTTGCTGATTCTCACATAAAAACTGCTCGGCACATGAAAAAACACCAACTGTTGCCGTGTCTGTCAGCACTGTTCATCAAACCAACTCTCATCTAGGTTAGATGAAGTGGTGATAGTTTTGCTACTGATGATCAGATGGGCTCTTACACGTCAGTACAACTGTCAGTGTGCGTAAGATAATTCAAAATGTTGTGAACTCAGTTTATTGCTTGCTGGCAGTTCTAGGAGGTATTTAGTCCTCTGCTATTTATGAGAGGCATAAATTAATTGTTATTTGACAAGAATTAAGGAAAAAACAGAGGCATTTAATGTGTGTTCTAGGATTGTTTTCAAGAGTAGTCCCATGTACGTTTTCTTGCTATAGCACAAATTAAGTACCTTTGGGGTGTTTCATAGCAAATACTAGTCTTCAGTAGCTATGGGTGCTCTTGTAAAAAGAGTTTTAAATCGGCATAGCCTTTGGAGATTCGTTTAGGAGGAGTCCCAAGAGAGAAGTCTGAGCGTGCAGTTCTTGGGAAATCGCAAGTACAGCCAAGCAAACTGGCCACTAGGTGTTGCTGATGCTGTGCTGTGAAGAAACTGCATAAAGGTTTTTAACTCAGTTTGGGTTAAATGGGTCTATTCCTTCCCTGTGTGTAGGCAGTTACATTTTGATAGGTCTTTCTTTTCCTTGCCCACTAAGGTTAGATTTTGATTTTGTGTTCTGGTTTTTTTTTTTCCTCCTCAGTTACACATTGCTGTCCTCGCAGTAAGTAAATGAATACAAGGCGTTTTTCTTCCCTTACCCTGCTTGAAAGAGATACGGAGTCAAGGTTGTGTCAACCCATTTGTGCCTTTTTTAAGGGGAAGTCAAAATGTATGTATGTGGTTTTTAATAGAGCGATGACCTTTCTTAAATATGGTAAATATGAACTTCCTAGGCTGCGTGGGAATATTTTGCTCAGTATGTCAGACTTCTGCCTCTGAGGCCCCACATGCATCCATAAACTCCTAGAAGCACTTTTATGTGCTTCATATCATTGCTTCCTTTAAAGTCTTGCCTCCGCCCTTGGAAGCTGCTGCGTCTTCTCCATTTTCCCCTGCAGAAGAGTTCTCCTTATTAATCTGATCCTGAAGAAACCACACACTAGCAGTTACATAGCACGTCTTTTGCCCTGGTCCTTTGGAAAGCACCAAGAGCTATGCATCTATTCTGTGCATAATCTGAGTAGTTAAATCTCAGGCATCAGTAGTTGCCGGTGAGGGCTGGAATGGGAATTAACCTCATTCCTCCGCAATTACACAGATGAGCGTCTTCTACCTGTCTTTGAAGTGGTAAGTATTGACTGCTGATAGAGGAAAGCTATTTCTCAGCCATTCCTTTCTCTGATCCCACGCTAAAGATAGTACAATCTCTGTTGTAAAATGAAAATATCATTGTTTAGTCACTTTTCACTGGTTCAAGTTATCCAAGGGGAGAATGCCCTCACTGTGCTTTCTTATAACAGATTTACACCAATCCCAAGGAACCGGAGGTAAGAAAGAGTCTTAATTAATCTTTGAGGCAACTGAAGGCACGGGTGAGTAGATTTGTATTCAGAGTGGACTTGTAGGCTTAAATTCTACCCTGACAGAGCTGCTTAGTGACCCTGTTTCTCCTCTTGTGCCTTCACTCAGGAATGACAGCTCAGTGAGCTGGATTGTGATCAAACGCTCCTACCAGGCGCTAGGCTGTGGGCCCATCTAGGGCCTCAGGCAGGGATGTTAACAGGCAACTAACGGGAACGTTGGCGATTTTTGTTTTTCTTTCCTGAAGAGAAGAAATGGGAAATTCAAAATCATGCTTTTACGAACCATCTTTTTAACAGCAGTGTTGAGAAGGGAGCTGTTTTTTTCATGCAGAGAGAGGTTTAGGACAGAAGTTCCGAATCACTTCAGAGCCGGGATGTATGTGTTGCATAGCACCTTTCAGTGTTCTCTGTTGTGTTTCTATTTTGCCTACCTCTAGCTGGTGGAGGCAGACGGGGTAGTGTGATATATAAGGGAGGTTCTGCATCCGTCCTGTCTCCGCAGAGCAGCTGCAGAGGACGGCTGTAGAATCTTTGCTCACCTGATTACAGTTCTGCTGCATCACACCTCGGCATCTCGGGAGAGGGCGAGAATTTAGTCCATACCAAGGCTGGGATTGGTAAGGAAGGCTCCGAGTTAAGGGCTCAGCTGAGCTCCTACTAATCGACCTCGTTGCCTCTGGAAAAAGTGAATTATAGGCATGGAATTGGACTACAATAGATCCTTTCTCTTGTGGTGAAGTAGGCTGTCCTTCCTCATTATTTTATCCTCTAAAATTGTAGCAAATCCTTTCCTTTAAAATGGAAAATCATCCCGGTTTTTTAAATTCTCTCATAAAACTCTGGGACCAGTGAAATTAAGCAACTTTTGCCCATGCAGTATTGTTTGTGTTTCCTAGTATGAAGAGTCCTTCAGGCCCTTGTCTCCGTACAGAACTGAGCCAGGCTTCCGTGTGACGCTGCTTCACCCATGAAGCCTCATATTTTTCCTTTTCGTAAGGAAGGACCATCGGACAGACATTGTGGTGGTTGGCTGGCCCTGGTGCCTCATTAGAGATTTAGACTGGGGAGTCAGGCCCACAGAGGAAGTGGAAGGAGGAAGCAGGAAGTTTGTAAATTTTTTGTGATTCTTTCAGAGCTAGGTAAGCTGTGGTTTTCAAGAAAACTTACCAAAGCCTGTGCAAGCAATAACGGAGCTAAAGCTGTCGTCGTGTCATTAAATTAATGTTGTGCTCTGGCATAAAGTCGTGAAAGGACACTGCTAAGTTCAGTACACATCTTTACACTTTTTACTGAAGGAGACCCATTTCTTCTCTTCCCCTTTCTTGTTAAATCTCTAGACAGTGACAGAACTGTATCAATTCAAATTCAAGTACCAAAAGGAGATGCCCCAGATGGACATCATCAGGTAAGGGTTTGCTTTTATTTCTCAGAATTACACTGTGAAAACTCTGTTCCTGAAGCATTAAGAAGAAGCTGCACTTCATGACTAGAGCATATCTGAGTCGCTAAGCAGCTGTAAATATCATCAGAGTTGAGGATAGTCACCCTACAGGATATGAACTGCTGAGCTAATGAGTAGAAATGCTGTTACGTAGTGCAGTGAGGCACGTGAAGTGCACCAGAACTGAATTAAGGACAATTTATAGAAATGGTGCCTAATCAGGGTCACGATGCAGAAACGGGCACCGTTGTTGAGCTTGCTGCTATCTCAACTAATAATGGGTGTTCTTCCACTTTCACAAGACAGCCTTGTGCTTTCAAACGAAGCTTTTTCAGGTTTGATCCCTTTCACCGTGATCCTGCACCCGGGATTTGTTTCCTTGGGCATTTGCATACGTGTATTCTGCATGAGCAGTCTTGCGGGGGTGACCCGAGAGAACTTTCGCTTATGATGCCTGAGCTGATAGTGCAAAATGTTTGGCAGGAAGCAGCAGCTTTTTGCATCTTTTTGTCTCTGTCTGTCTGTTAGATATTTTAAAGCTGTGTTTAGTAGGCCATAAGCCTGTGTAGTTTAAAGTAAATACTATCAAAGGCCATTGGCTATAAACAAAGCAAAGAAAAAGAATTAACCTGTTTTTAGTTTGCTTCTGCAGTTGCCATTGGTGAAAAATAAATCTTTGGGCCTTGGAACCTGCTTGTACAGCAGGAGAGCTCTGCTGTCTTGTATGCTCCTCAGGAAACTCCTCCGCAGCGCTCCTGTAGTGTGCCATTTGCTGCTCTTTCTCTAAAAACATCCACATAATTTGTAGTATGTGGCAAAGTGATGTTTCTGTTGGGAAAATCTGAACCATGTCTGAGTCGAGTGTCCTGTTGACTGTACCCTGTATTTCCACTTTGAAGCTGCTGCCAGTTGTCCTCACTACGCTGAGGGAAAGAAGAGACCTTTGGGATCTGAAAGATAATAGATGGCTCGAGTACTTTATTTTTTTAATCAGCCTTACTCAGGTCAGTCATTAGTTCCTAGAAATAACAATGGTCCCCACATGGAACTCGGCATCCTTTGGTGTCTTCGTACTGGCCAAGAAGAGGCTAAGTAATCTTGCTGTTGTGTTTATATCTGTTCCATTGAAATCTCATTACTGCTCTGAGGCTTCGAAGCCCGTGGCATCAGATTCCTGGGCTCTGTTCTGTTTCCTCAGTGACTGACACTGCTATCGCAGGGTCGTGCATGTACCTGCAGTCATTAGTAAACTGATGTTCTGGCATTGATCAGACTATTGTGTCATCTTTGCTATCAGCTCCTTCAGCTGATAACACTGCTTTTATACACCTGCAACGTTTATTGTCATGTGCAAACTCTGAGTTAATCATTCTGTGAGAGATGTTTTGTGGGTCTGCATCATCGGGTCTGAGTGGTAAAGGGAAGCTTTCTCCTAAATGGTTTCTGCCTTATTTTAGGTGGATTTTGGAAGAATTCCTTGTGATGGATACTAGTCCTTCAGAGAGGTTCATTTCCTTAGCTTCTACCTTTTGACACATTCCTGCATCAAATTCACAATGTTATTCCCGTATTGAATGAGTACTTGACCTGTTAATTCCTGTGGAAGTCTCTTTTTCACTTGTACTCGTTCCCCTTACCATTTCTATTCTGCTACTCCCAAGACTTGTAAAGGTCATGTGTAAGAGAAGGCCTACCTCCTTTTTACTCCACTTCAGGCATTGCCAGCATTTCTCCTCTCACTTGATGTACATTTCTGAATATACAGGATTTAATCTAATAGCACAGTGTGCTCAGCACAGAGTTTTGCTGTTGGCAGTTTGGAGCCTACCAAACCGTACCCTGGGAATTCAAGCTATTCAACAGCCAGTCAGTTTTCATGACGAACCAAGAAGCTTCAACTGGAAGGGGAAATCAGTGCTAACGAAGCTGTTCCTTCCAGTGGTTTAGTCAGTCAAATTCTCTCCGCTCTCTTAGGTTACTTACTGCTCGTGAAACAATTTGGGATGATTGTGTTAGAGACGATCCAGTCTGTATATAGTGTCATCCACCTGCCAGTGGTCTTCCAAAGACATAATTTTGTAATGGGGGAGCTACATTTTTTTTAAGACCCCTTCTCATTGAAAGCTAGGGAAGTTTAGGTTCCTTAGTCACATAGTGATTCATCTAGTCCATCTTCAACCATCTAAAGTTAGCTGACTGATCTAAGCTGCTCATCTCATCCACCTCTGTAGTCAAGAGAAACAAACTCCTCCAGAGGGCGATTCATCCCCCTTCTCTTAGACGTTTATCTCAGTCTAGACTGCTTGCTTAGACTAGCCAGCTGACATTTGGATGGGCGAAGGAGGTGAGAGGAATGCCCCTTAGTCACTTTTGAAAAATGTGCTTCTGAGCTAGTTTTTCTTACATGGAATTGAAGTGAGAACATGCAATTCACTTCTCTTCAAACTGCAAAATGGACTTGAAAATAGCCCTTGTGATGAATCGGCTTTATATGGGATTCTCACCTCATTCCTCTCATTCCTGAAATTGCTTAGGTGAAAGGCACTTGTTTTATGGTCCTTTGATCCAATTTAATCATGTTCAAACAAGTGAGTCATGACATTTGTATAATGGGGTCCATTGCCCCAGCTACAAAGTCTGTTCAAATGTAAATGCCATGCCTCTTAGTTTAGAGCTGTTGTTTTGCTGATGCCACCCCATCCCTGGAGTCTGTTTCACTTCCCTGTTTATCTGGAAGTTACATAAAGGCATTGTAGCTTTGTTGCTGGTGGTTTCAGACAAGTCAGTGGGTGCACTGTATTTGTAATTAGATCGTGAATATTCATGACTGAGGAAAACAAATCTGTTATTCTTCTTCCAATTGTAGCAACCAAATGAACTTTGTGAATGGGGTGTGCAGCGAGGATGTCAAACAGGCCAGCAGGCTCCTGATCCGTAAACTGTACCTGTTAATGCAAAACCTCGGGCCGCTTCCCAATGACATTACCCTGACCATGAAGCTCCTCTACTACAATGATGGTAGGTGGAGAGCAGTGTGTGCTGTGGGGAAAAATTCCCTTTCCATCAGTTTCGATGCTAATCATGAGCCCCTGTAAAGTAAGTAAAGCATAGAAAGGTGAAATGGTAGAAGCTGTTAACTGATGACAGTGAGAAATTGTGTAAAACAAACAAACAAAAAAGCCTTCTGACACACAGGGATGGCAGGTGCTTTTTAAGAAAGGGTTGAAAATCCCTATGAGAACTACAGCCATGCAGTGTGAAAAGGAGACATCTTTCTCCTTCACAGTTTTTGTGGTGGTGTTTTGTTTGTTTTTTTTTTTTAAGGAACAGGCATCCTGCATTTGTCAGGTTCTGCTCCAGAAAGTTGAGCACATTAATGGTATCTCAGCATCCTAAAGTCATTATTTCTCTGAGCTCCCTGATAACATTTGCTCAGCTCATTTTTTCCTTCGCATTCTCTCCCTTCTTCCTAAAAAAAAGACCCAGAATATTTCTAGTAGTTGATGTTGTTACTTGAGGCTGGTATACACTTGTTCTTTATAAATCAGATTAAGGAAAGATGGAACTTGATTTCTCTGACATCATCTTCCTGTCTAGTAACTCCCGAAGATTACCAGCCCCCAGGCTTTAGGGAAGATGGCAGCCCTGGTGACCTGTTTTTTGATGGCGATCCTGTCAACCTGAGAGTAGGGTCAGTCTCCACTGGGTTCCACCTCATGAAAGTGAGAGTGACAACTGAAAAGAAAAGAATGGGGACAACTGAAAGCAACCTGATCCAGAAGAATGGCCCTACTGAGATCTCCCATCAAGGGTTAGACTGTGATGAAGAGGAAGAGGAGGGGAGCACAAAGGTATAGAAACAGCTCTATTCGGTTCTCGCTGGAGGAATGGAGTTTATCTAGCAAAACTCTCCTTAAAAAAACATTTTCTCAGAATCTTAGTTTAATAAGGGTTTTGACTTGTGTAGGGCAGCAGTGCTACAGCAGATTGAACACTGGGGCTGGAAGTTCATAGACATAAAGTGAATTTCATTCCAGCATATTCACTGATTTACTAAGAATCTAGTATATTCTCCCAGGAGAGGGCAGTGATTGTACAGAGAGACACAACATACACGTGTGCGCACACACGCAACACGTGCCGTGTGCACATGCACACATGCACACTTATACCCGGACATGCAGAGAATGAAGAAAATTGCAAAGAGTTTTACACTTCCACTTGGTGTTTCTCAGGACTAAGCTATGTTCCACTGTGTAGTTAGGTGGGATTCTTTCCACTTACTTGTAGCCATCTAAATGTTGTGTGTTGTGTGTAATTTCTCTAGACCTCTCTCTGCACTTAGTGGAGGAGGAGGCATGTTTAGCAGGTAATTCAGATAATTTCCTTAGACACCAAGGTAGGCTGGAATGAATGGTCCTCTGGTGCTGCCCCTCCAAAATGACAGAAGGGGCAGCCTGGACTGGCAGCTCAGAGCTGATGATTTAATTTTAGGTGGTCAGTGCCAGGGAATAAATCCCAACATAATAAGTAACGCTTGAAGACAGGAAGGCATTTAGGTTGAAATTCTGTATTTTCTTAGAAAATCTCTCTCTTGAAAGGCCTGTAGGCTTGGGAGAAGGAAGGCCTGGACACTGAGGAGCTGTGAAAATCTCATCCCTATTAGTGCTGGGTTTATGGATTTACCACCTGGGCATATTTTTTATGTTATGCTATTAAGACAAAGCATCATTTCCTTTACAGAATCACCCTCTCCCTGTCAAAGCAGATTCCAGTGACCGTGGAGAGGACAAAAGTGACACCCATCCAGGCTGGAAAACGGAAGCATCTTCTTTTTACTTTCAAGGTACAGGTAAATGCCCAGTTTCAAAACTGAAAGAGCTTGTGCTCATGACTGTGTCCTAGCGTAATATTTAGGTTTTCTCACTATGAAATGGATGAACGGAGTTTGTCAGGCTGTTTGAATTTTGTGTCAGATCAGATTGAACTATAATAAAGGACTTGTTGTATGTGCTTGGTTTGTTACAGAAACATTCAATTTTTTATCAATCTTTCTACCTCTTTATCTCAGCAGGGGTTTTTTTCAGATACGAAGGAAATGCACGGTTCATCAATACTGAGTTACATTATCTACATTTTCACCAAAGCTCTTTTTCTTTAGCTGTTCCAGTTTGATTTTGCTAATGACTTTCATATGTGAAAACATACATGAAAATACATGGAAAAAAAGCCTTTTCTCGCTCTTCAATCAACCTAGTTTCTGATATACCATGCTGTATTGGACCACTGAGGCTCTCAGATATAGCCTGTGGAACAATACCATCTAGTGACAAAACGGTAAATAGCATTACTGAGATCCCCAGGCAGTGGAATAAAGAAGCTTGTCTGCCTATGAAGTCACCTTTTCAGATTTTTCTCCTGCAGATTCTCCCATGACTAATAAGGGGTGAACTCATACTGCCACCTTTTCCACTTTGGGGATATTAACAGGATCTTCCTCCTCTAACCAGTTGCCTGTTTTCGTGAAACTGAGGCGCTTTGGGACCCGCCATCAAATTTTATTGAAACTGTCTAATAAGGTCAGTAGTTGTTAGTCAGGGGATAGGTCCCCTCACTCCCCATGCACACACACACACTTGGATAGAGCATATGCAGGCATGAGTTTTGTTTTCTTAGGAAGCCAGGTTAAAATGGCATTTAAGTATAATTGATAGGAGCTGCTGCAAGTTAATGTGTTGCACGTTCAGATGACACTTTATTCCGAAATCTCTGTTTCCAGGAATAAACTGCCTGTGTTGGCACTGCCAAAGGTTACACAATTTCAGATCAAGCATGCGATTTTGCTGCAGTGGTTTAGTCAGGCTTCTGGATTATTTTTTTTTCAATTAAATTTAGAGTTTTAACTTTGTAGCTAATTTTGATACAATGTTTGGATTGTAGGTGGAAAGAAGAGGACAGGCATAAAGGAGACAGGCAGGATGCCTTGCTCAAGGACATCCCAGCAGGTGAGCGCATCTTAGTGGCTCTAAGATACACCAGGCAATGTGGAATTCATTGCCACGGAAGATTATGTCATCTAGGATGGCACAAGATTTAACTAACATTAGTGCATTTATGCAGTATCAAAATACATAGAGGCTACAAAGTATTAAGGCACAGGGGTACAAGCACGAAGAAAGAAACTTTCCATGGTCAGCTTACTTCATACAGGACAGGAAGGCTCTGCAGAGGGATCTGGACAGGCTGGATCGATGGGCTGAGGTCAACTGTATGAGGTTTAACAAGGCCAAGTGCCGGGTCCTGCACTTGGGTCACGACAACCCCACGCAACGCTACAGGCTTGGAGAGGAGTGGCTGGAGAGCTGCCCGGCAGAAAAGGACCTGGAGGTGCTGGTTGACAGCCGGCTGAACATGAGCCAGCAGTATGCCCAGGTGGCCAAGAAGGCCAACAGCATCCTGGCCTGTATCAGAAATGGTGTGGCCAGCAGGAGTAGGGCAGTGATCTTGCCCCTGTACTTGGCACTGGTGAGGCTGCACCTTGAATCCTGTGTTCAGTTTTGGGCCCCTCACTACAAGAAAGACGTTGAAGTGCTGGAGTGTGTCCAGAGAAGGGCAACGAAGCTGGTGAGGGGTCTGGAGCACAAGTCATATGAGGAGCGGCTGAGGGAACTGGGGGTGTTCAGTCTGGAGAAGAGGAGGCTGAGGGGAGACCTTATTGCTCTCTACAACTACCTGAAAGGGGGTTGTGGTGAGGTGGGTGTTGGTCTCTTCTCCCAAGTAACTAGCGATAGAACAAGAGGAAATGGCCTCAAGTTGTGCCAGGGGAGGTTTACATTGGATATTAGGAAAAATTTCTTTACTGAAGGGTAAAAGCCTGGAACAGGCTTCCCAGGGTGGTGGTGGAGTCACCATCACTGTAAGTGTTCAAAAAACATGCAGATATGGCACTTCAGGCATGGTTTAGTGGGCATGGTGGTGTTGCGTTGATGTTTGGACTTGATGATCTTAAAGGTCTTTTCCAACCTTAATGATTCTATGATTCTATACATCCAGTACAAGAATTTTGTACTGTTCTCTGTATTTGGCACTTGTGAATTACACACAGACTAAATGTATCAGTGTCCCAACCAGGCTAGTTTACCTGTGTGTGTTTTTGGATTAAGGTTCTGAAATCACCACCCTGTGTTAGGTTTGAAGGGTGTGTTTGTCTGTTGCCTAACACGGTCTTCACCTCTCCTTTCTTGCTTCCAGACTATCTTTACATGTGAGTCACAGGTACTTACTGCATCCTGTCCCTTTTTGGCTACCCCTCTAGGATAGGAAGGATTATCCCCTGGAGGTGCTGATCTCTTTTTCAGTGGTTGTTGGGGCAACTAGGGTAGATCAGGCATGTCATTTTAGATAAGTAAAGTTATGTGAAATTAATTCCATTCTGAAGGCTGCCCGGGCCAAACCCTGAGTCAGAATCAGAGTTTGAATTCATAGGCTTGTGCAGAGGTTTCTTCAGTGACAGGGCAAATCTCTGAATGCCACCAGACTTGCCACTTGATCCTCCTCCCATTCAAATTAGTTGAAAATCGTGTGAGCTTGAGTGTTCAGAAGTTGAATCTTTACAGGATAAGTTAATGAGAGTAGGAAATTGCTACTAAAATTTTCCCCGCCTCTGTTGAAAAGAATCCCAGGGTGTCTAACCCAGACAGCAACTGGAGACTACAACTTAACGTGTCATTCAAAAGGCATCTGTGAAGTATTTGCCTTGACTCTGGATCTTAGAAATGAACTTCTGTGCTTAGGCTGGTATTTTTCAAACTTTAACCACATATTTTTTTGTGTCACATCCTCCAGTTTCCTTCTGATCATTGTTTATTCTGTCGTCTGTGTGAAAACAGGAGCCTTTCTTGTTTGTAACTCATGGTTGCCCCACTGATTCATGCTCTGACATTCTTTTAGGTTGTCATGATTGTTAAGCAGAGCACCAGACACCTCTCTCTTCCAGCATGTGAATTTCATTAGAATACAGTAGCAATAGCAAGAGTGTCTGAAGGTGGTGGAAACAGTATTAGTTGCTGAAAAATGGAAGAGTCACTTTATCCATTGTATTCTTCCAAAAGTCTAAAAAAACCCCAACCAAACCCAAGCCCTCTGCCTGGTAGATTCTGCATGTCAGAGGGTTTTTTTAATGTATTCTTTCATACTATTTTTTTAAATCATCATAGCTTAGAAGTTGGCTAATATTTCAGTCAGTTTAGGGAAAAACAAAGTCAAGTTACTAGTTAAAAAGTGCAGATCATCATTGTAAAGCCAGTGCTAATAAAAATTTGACACTATTTTCCATATGAGAGGGACTTTCCCTTCTTTTCTGAGGGAAGTGGTTAAAACAAATGACCATTGTGTATTCCACGTGAATCAGGAAGCCAAACTGGTGAGTGAAGTTTGTCTTAAAAAATGAGAACAAGCTTGGGTAGATGGGAAGTCTGTTAGGTGTTATCTAACAGGGTCAAGTATAGGTAAGGTGGGTAGAAGTAGTCCTGTTGGGGTGTGATCGTGAACACCTTGTTGCTATACAGACTACAGTACAGTCAAGGAATAACATTTTCCACTGTCAGGTGTGTTCAGAGAAGCTCTCTGCTTTAAGGAGCTATGAGGTCTCTGGAGTGACTTGTTTTGTCCTGGATTTTGACGTTTCATCAGCTTGGTGTGTGAGGGACCTTGAGGAACAACCTAGCCTGGGTCATGGAGGTCTCCCTTTATTGGGGCAGACATGAACCCTTAGACTTGCACTGCTAGTCCGTGACTTTGAGTGTTACATTTCCACCAGAAGAAGATCCCCTTGAACTAGCTCACAGAATGATCACTCTCATACCGGCACTACCGCAGGGGAGCAGGCAAGACTGGACAGCAAGGAATGGGCAAAGGGGGGTCCAGGAGGAAGACCTGCCTTTCTGGTGGTGGCGCAGTGTTAGCTGTTCATCTGTCCGTGGAGCAGCACCTCATGGATGTGTATTTAAAGGTGCTCTCTGTACAGCTAAACATTCAGGCCAAGATTTTTCAGAACTAACTAGAACAATTTGGAGTGTCCCAGAATTTGATATCTGTACAAGGATTTGATATTCAAGAAGTGCCAAGTTCAAAAATGTGGTATCCACCGTCACAAGTTGCTTTTGGAAATGTGGATGAGCCCGTTACTGCTCTTCCTCTGAACTGCTTTATTCTTTCTGGTTCCTTGGTTATCAAAAATAAAAACTGTGCTGTCGGAACTGAGTTTATTGGTCATTATCTTTGTGACCTATAGCTCTTCAGGAAAACCAGGAATGGAAGTATTAAAAGCTTATTTTTATCTAATCAACATGGGAGAGGCAAAGGATGCGGATCTGCCAAAAGAGAAGCAGTTATTCCTGTCCAGTTAGAACTGTAACTGGCCTTTAGTAACGGCCACGGAGAGTCTCTGACAGAGGGCTTTTCAGATTGGAGAAAAATTTACATGTACTCAACTGGCTCGTTATCTGCAATCTCATGATTGATGATACTTAGGATCAAATGAGAGATTGCCCTTTCCCAGCAAAGCATCTCTGTACTTAATCATCCAGAGTTAGACACCAGCATGTAAATTAGCCTACCTCTGCTGACTTCAGGAGAGTTTTTCTGATTGCATCAGCCAAGGATTTGGCCCAGTGTGCTAACTTTGTGCATCTTGCTACTTTCCACTGGCCTCCTAGGAGTTGTGAAGAGTTGGGTAAAATAGGGAATTGATTTCACTTATAGAAATCTGCTGATGAGAATGGGGTCCTGCACTGTACTTAAGATGATAACTTCTTGAATTCTTTGGTGTACTCCTTTATCCTTTTGTGAATCGTTTAATGTTCTTGTCCTGCAAATTGATTTTTGTAAGCCTTCTCTTCATGTAAGCAAACATGTTGCAGTGGAATGAGTTTGGAATGAAACAGAACTAGAAGATGAGTAAAATCTGACCATGTGGACGCCTCTGCAGGCTTTTATCTCCCATCAGGAAGCTGTGGGCTGAAGTTCTGGGGTGGTCCTTAGAGCACAGTCTCATTGCACAGTGAAACAGCCGTGCAGAGAGCCCTGAATCGCCCCTGACTGAGCCTGCGCCGGAGCTGGAAATGGTGTGACTGTATCAGCACAGCACAAGTCGGTTCTGCCTCCCAAGTTTCTGGCTTCATTAGCTAGTGCCAGACACTGCTTATGCTGCTAGACTGGCCATGCTTATGTTACTAGACTGCTGTGGGACATGAGGAAGCGTGTTGACAGTTGGTCTTGTGTGGACATAATCATTTTGGATCAATGATAGCTTAGGAGTCTCTGCACTGCGATTCACTGCCTGCTGTAGGCATAGTCCTGCCATGTGCATTAGCTCTCTTAACTGGAGCTGTCTGAAAGTTAGATGTCTAGGGAGAGATTCAAACCGAAATGTTGTAAATTAGTGCTGGTTTAGACCTTAGAGGATAGCCTGTCTGGCCTCCAGCTGCTGCTCCCATGCAGAAGACTTGGCTACCTGGCCACGTCCTCTTTCTCCGGGGGACTGTGTCAGCAATGGAAGCCAGTGTGAACAGTCTTTCGCGGATGACACATTGCAAGTAGTGTCTGTCGTGTTTGCCAGTGATCAGTGTCCTGCTGGTGCCCAGGGTCATGGTCACCGTGATGCAGACTCTTGTGCCTTTGCTGAGCTTCCGTGTTGTACACAGCTTCCGTCTGAATGTGAAGGTCGGCACAAGTGGATCCAATTGCAGAATAACAGCTTGGAGATCAAGACCTTTGTTTGTCTGATTTTTCCCAGGCAAACCACTTTTAAAATTGCCATGACAGAAAGCAGTTGAAGGGTGAAGCCTGCCATTTGCAGAGCAATAGGAAAGCATTTTTCTGTGGCAATGTCATTATCTTGAACTTTTGCAGAAAAGTAAAAAAAAAGAAAGGTTTATCTCTAACTGTCTATCAAGAGAGCTGTATCTGATGAGAAGTTCCCAGAACATTTTCTCCTCCAAACCAA